ACTACTATGTTATCGCTATAAATAGAATTCTTGGTATTAACGATAACTCGCTATAACGATGAAAATGTGACCTAACGAGAGTATCGTTATATCCAGTCTTGACTGTAGAAAGTTCTGCTTACTCGTTTACATTAGCCTTCGAGAGTCTGGCTGTACTGTATGTACGTTTTGTATACTATTTCTAAAGAAAATATTGACTTTTACCCCTTTTGAAAAAGAAAGAAGTTTAACTGCCACTTACAAAATATTATCTTATAATACCAGCAATAATGATTACAGTGATATTGCAACGAAAATGTAAAAGACACCGAAGTGTTGTAAGAAGAGGTTTCGCAATTACAGTGCGATTACAAGCGATTACAGGTATGTATGTGTGTGTTAGCTTTGCTGGAAGAACATTTACAAATGATACAATAGTATTTTATTCATATAATGGTTCAGAATCTTAGCGAGTATAGCTTGTAGTCCTTCACAAAGTCCTTATAGCTACTTGAAGATACAACGGCTCATTGAAAGTTATAGCGGATAATCAACAGACGCATATCACAATCCGCAACCGCAGTTGTATAATCGATGATTTATTAATATTAAGTTGGACTAGTAATGTAAGAATTGAGGATATACTGTCGACACCGGTCATTTCACTACAGAATGAACAAGCTGTGGACATTGGTGGGGTATTGCGTGACATTGTTGAAAGCTTTTGGGAGCAGATTAGAGAGTGGGAATTTGCAATTATTGGCTTTTTACAAACAGTACACTTACCATAAGATGCGTGCAGCATTGGCGCAAGAGACCGTATTAATGGGTAGACTATTATGGCGGCCCATCATTCATGATATTGCTTATCCAAATGGCTTGCTGCATATGTATTTTGGGGTAGAGATAATTTATGGAGGCATTAGAGTGTGTTTCCGAACCCCTATGGACACTCTGTAGCGAATTAGACAGCTCAGCTTGCAGGAATGGGAGAACATATGAATTTGACTGGACAGCTCGGGGTATAGAAAATGAAACGATCCCTCTGTGGTTTCACGAATATCTTACCAATATGCAGATAAAACAATTGCGAAGAAAATAATAAGATTCTGCACTGGTAGTTACCCCGAGTGCCTGTTGAGCGCAAGATTACAGTACGTATTATATATATCATCGATAATTGTTTATATTAGATGCATGCTTATTGTCAACTTTTTTATTTAGATAAAGATTGTCGCAGCCGACACAAATCTCAGTTCAGCATACAGTCGGTTGCCAAGAGCGTCATCGTGTTTAAAAGAGATTTGGCTTTGCCATGAATACGATGCTGGTGAAAAGCAACAATTTTTGCCGATCTAAATTGCGCATTTAGCGAATGTAGCGACGGTTTTATGAACGGGCTGTAGAACTACCTGAATAATGTAAATAATGTAATGTACTAGATTTTTGATAAAATATTGATTGGTAGACTCCAAGAATTGACTAAAAAAAAATCTTAGAACAACATTAGACAAATAGAACTTATTGCCAGCCATCACGTAAACGCGTTGGATAATAAGGATAATGAAATGATTGTAATGTGTGATAATATATTTTATAAATTGTAATTTCCCGAACCATTTCTTAATTTTTTAACCAGAATAAGCGGGCAAGTGTTTTTATTATTTTCAAAAAAATCAAGCCACCTTGGTCTTCTAACCGTAAGATATCTGTATTTGGACATTTGAAAATAATGTCAAGATCGAAACATTTTTATCGCATTATTAATTAGAGGCATAAAGTTTTTAGTCTTCTTTTAACATGCATGTTAAATTGTAATACTGTATTCGTCAGACAAATACTGTATTATGTGCAATCTCATCATCGTACAGTCAGATTAAAAAAACAGTACACTTGTACAATACGTTAGATAAAAAGTCCACGTTTACAGTCTAACTGTAGTGCTGAAATTATATCAATTATTTCGAGATTAAATAATTTACAGTCTCATTATAATGCTAAAATTACACCAATTATTTTAATTTCAATCACTGTGCGGTTAGATTTATATATCCCGTAATGCTAAAAATTTATGCCAACTTTTAATGAAAATTATTTTGCGATTAGATAAAAAATAGTCTATATTTACGGTACGGTCTAACCCGTGATGCAAATCACTGTGCAGTTAGATAAAAAATAGTTAATGCTTACAGTCTAACCGTAATGCTAAAACTCATACCAATTATTTCGATGGCAAATCGCTGTGCGGTTAGATCAAAATATAGTCTATAATTACAGTCTAACCGCAATGCTACGATTGTACCAATTGTTTCGACGTCAAATCACTGTGCGGTTTGGATCAATAATAGTTTATATTTACTTTTACCAAATGCAAACATCAAAGATAACATTCTAGCCATAATGTCAAAAATTTGTACCAAAGATTTAGCGTACGATTAGGCCAACTCATTAGACTACATTTACTATCTAACAGTAAACTGCTACAATTACTGTCTATTTCAAGCAAATAATCATATGATTAAATCTACTTAACAGACAAGATCGCGTTCGATAAGCATAAATTGTGGGCGAGTTCAACGTCCAATAATTCAAGCACAGTATTTCGTTCGAACATTATAGACCGTATTATATCATTTATTATTCCAACTGACGTGCATGTGAGAAAAGTTTCATATCAAATGTGGCGTAATTTTTGTTACCTAATTTAGGAATAGACAGATTTGCGACTAATTTACTACAAATTTTAGCAAAAGGATCCACAGGTATTTTTATGCTAAATCCCTCCCGTTGGTGTTAACTGGTGGGCTGTGTTGATGGTGTGAATAGAAATTATCTGAATATCTTACCAATGTGCAGAGAAAACAATTGTGAAGGAAATAAAAAGTTCTTGCACCGATAGTTACCGAGTACCTGTTGAGCGCAAAATTACAGCACGTATTATATTATATCACCAATAATGTTAATATTTTTTGACGCATGCTTATTGTCAACTTTTTTTATTTAGATTAAAGTCATTGCAGCTGACAAAACTAAGTGTCAAATTTGCCAAAAAAATTAAGGGATAACAAGCATTGTCTCTATCGGCACAATTAGACGCTGGATTGCTAGGGTCGAGGATCTTGTTAGCAATAACCTGCATACCTCTATTAGAAATTAACTAACAAAGTCGGTATTTTCCGTGAAAAAATTTCTTACAGTTTTGCATGAAAAGCTGAATTTCCACAATCTCTGTGCAAAAATGGGTTCCCCATAGGCTTTCGGAGGAACATAAACGAAATCGTGTCGAACTTCCAAGTAACTATTAAAAATTTTAGATGGATGGTACCAAAACATTGTTACTGGTGATAAAATATGGATATACAGTACTTATATACTATTTTAAATAAGGAAGCAAACAAGTCATGGCTAGAAAAGAATGAGAATAGGCCACAAATAATAAAAACAGCTCAAAATTCAAAAAAAAAAAGGTGTTTGCATATATTTTTTTTTCTGTAAACGGAGTTATTACACTATTTGTGGTTCCAAAGGATAAACAGTTAACGCTAACCTTTAACAAGATACTACCAAAAGTTTTCGGGCTTTATGGAAAAAAGGGGTAAAACGACTATTTGTGATGTCATGCTTTATCACAATAATGCCGCACGCAGCACATAAGGCAAGAATCGTAACAAAATATCTGAACTTTTCCCACCCACTATACAGTCCAGTCCAGACTTAGCCCTTGTGATTTTTTCTGATTCCCTTAAATAAAGAAAGAACTAAAGGGAAAGACATTTGATAAGGTCGAAAATTTGGCAAGGACTGTTGTTGAAGATATCCCAAAAGAGGACTATGAGAACTTCGAAATTGGCTAGAACGTTGTATGGAGTTTAATTTGAAGAAATGAGGTAGTTGTATCGATAATTATTACAGCAATTCTGAAAATAAACGTCCCACGCGCAAAAAATTTTCAGTCCCTCCCCCCACGTATACGTATGTTACAAGCTTTATAACAACCTCACAATCAAAAAAACATCTACAGTTTGAATCAAGGATTATAAATTGTACAATGTACATATTTAGTCTATGTTAACGTTGAATGTAAAGTTGTAACAGCAATTGCAATTTTATCTTTTCAAATGCCTAGTAATCCGTTACAAAGTATATGTCGCTAATATTAAATATTATAAAATAATGTAGGTGAAAACATTATATCTAATATATTGGATAAATTTGTCATTCTCCCACACTGTAATATAATAACAGTTCCTCGCGACTGTAATATAATAATTCATTCGTCCTTGGATACTTAGCTAAAAAATAAAACGTATAAACGAACTAATAGCCGTAAATAAAAGCCTAAACATGCCTTGCAACCCACCAATTCCTAACACACCAACGCTCTGCAAAATAGAAACGAGACTACCGGAAGCTATTCGCCCACCATAAAGAGACATATGAAAAGCGGCTATACTACCTTTAACTATTCCTTTACCGGTAAAGCCTAACATACGAATAATTATAAGAAGCAAATGTGGAAAACAGAACAGAGCAACAATAGCGACAATTATCATAATAGACGTAAAGTGATCCGAAACAAATTTAGCCGTAATTTCGTAGGGTTTTTCGAGTTTGTCGTAGGCTTTATCGAGTTGAGTATTAATCCAGTCGTGAATTCCGTCAAGAGTTTTGCCTGGCAACTCGTTATAAGACTGTCCATTTACTGTTGAATTTGTAGAGTTTTGCTCTGGTATTCCGAATACCATTTGGTTTTCCTTACTGAGTTTATCCGAAACCTTTTTCTCGGAGACTGGGAGACCGCCAACAAATTGACATAAAGAACAAGCAAAATTACCGCCGTTAAAAATAATGTTCTGTAACGGAAAGACATTTGAAATGTTATAATAATTTAGGTTTAACAGTAGCTAGCGTATTTGTCGTAACGGTAAATGTGCAAAGGCGGAATGAGATAAAGGGGACAATCGGAGTTCAGTCTTATTGCATTAGTGACATTATTGTCTCAAATTAGGTTTAAGTAACCAAAATATGATTGTTTTAATAGTTACACTACGTTACGGAAAAAATTTTCGCTTACCTGCGTTTATAAATTTGAAACTCTCTGAAATTAAAAAGTGTAAATTATTGACCAATATAAAATTTATTGTTATAGAAAATACATTATAGTTTCACACATTCATATCAAATAGATGCTACGAATGTTTAGACAAGATGCTTAGTTTTTCTTTGATAAACTGCTACCGGCCAAATTAGATCGGGCCGGTTGTAACATCTATACAATTTTAATCGAATGTAAAGTGCGAGCAGTTAAATAAAATGCAAAGATAGTTTGTTTAGTTTTATTGATTTATCTGACTTTTACAGAGTATGTAAGTAGTTTTAGTGGTTGTTGTCGAGAGTTTTGCATCACTATTTGCTTCGCTGAGAAAGGTTTTAATTCTGATTAGAGTTTATGTAAATTGCCAAACTCTCAATGTTGGGTATTCTTACTCGAAAAAAGCATCTAAGTATAAGAGCTATTCGTCAGTGTTCTCACGCTGTTTGTTTTACAAGCAGCAACTTGGTTTGTGCTTTTAAAAGCGATAAATTGAGACAAAAAATAGTGTATAAAATTACCGAAAATGAACAATAATAATAAAAGTTTGCATACGGTTTAGTTTATGAATTTTTTATTAACTGCGTTGGTCATTTTTTGTTGATTAATATTTGTTGTAAATGAATACTTGTAATAACGCATTAGTAGTAGTAGTAGTAGTAGTAGTAGTAGTAGTAGTATAATTTAGTTTTTGCATTTATAAAGCACTTGCTAAAGTATTGTTGACACTGAGTAGAGTTATATAGTTATAACGTTGTAGTTTTGTGCTTGTAAAGAATGAGCTTGTAAGTTTTCCAAAAGTATGCGTTCTCACGAGTCTATTTGTTGATAAAATTTTGGATAAGAGCAAAATATAGTATAACTTTAATTAATTGTTACAGCTATTGAGTATTTATTTAGTCAACAATTATTTTCAAGAAAATTTTGATGAGATAATTTTTGATTGAGAGGTACGATTATAGAAGGATTCTTGACTATTAACAATACGCTGGTGTGGGTACTAATGGATAATTATGTATGAAAGAAAAAAAATTATCAACAAATGTTAAATTGGTTGAGTAAGATATTCATTATTGCAATATTCGTATGCGAATGCAAGTGGTAATTTATGATAAAAGAATACATTAATTTGTGAGAAAAAAATAAATAAGAGAAATACGTATATTGAATATAAATACAGATTTAAAATAGTGGTAGCGATTGAAGATGTTAACATCTCTAATATAATATGCGTAACATATGCTTATCTCTGAGAAAATGTTTGAGAATTGAGAGCTTGGAAAAAAGCAATACTTTGTATTTTATGGACAGTCATGTCAGACAGGATTTACATAATTATAATAAATTAACGGAAATAGTCATTGAAAACACATTGTTTGAGCGTTCGGTGATTGAGATACGATCATGCTTATATGCTGTTTGTACATTTGTTTACGCCGGCCGGTAATAGTAATGAGACATTAGGAGACGTTAGAACTGTTATAGAAAGAAGCACTTTGATACGATACAAAGCTATTGATCATAATGGAAGGGTAGGAAGAATACGTGTGGTGTTTCAGGAAAAGATATAAATTGAATAGCTAAATTCTACGTTCTCGTAACAAGAAATTGTCACATACAGTACAGTAATTGACAGCCGATAAAAAATAAACTTATTTCATAAATTTATTATCATATATGATTTCGTTTTAATGGATACCAATGATAATATCACTCTTACTGAAAAGCATATCTACTGTTTAATGTGAATGAACACCAATTGAACTTCCTATTGAAGAATTTGAAAAGAGTTGGTAACAAACATATGGACGCAATATAATTCTTATAAATTTGTCAACGGTGATTCCTGGAAAATTTACGTCTGCCGCATCGAGAATTGAGCACACGACAAGAAGGAATTTCAATTGACAGGCGTAGGCAAACCTCAGCTCGACCATCAGATCTTTGCAATGCAAAACTTAAAAACTCTATGGTTAATGTCTTCAGAAGTTGTTCAAACCTAGCGGTATAAAGATTCTCCTGATCATACACACCCTATACAAGATATTGATAGAATCAATCATTTCAGAATAGGTTCGAAGAAAGTGGGTTTGAAATTTACGAACGGTGTGAGCAAATCACCATACTTGTGTCGCGAACGGAAGAACAGAGAAGAACTGATAGCTGAAGACTTACTGTTAATAAACTGATGGAAAGAGTGTGGAGTGTGTGCTGGAAGGTAGAGGAAACTGGTAGTGCAGTCATTAACCCAAATTATGCGAAAAAGATTTGATTTTGTTATTATCACATGAATCCAATACTGATTGTGGCACTTAGTCACCGCTGTGTGGCATAAACTACTCCGCTTTAGCCTACGCCTAAATTCAGAAAAAGACTTCCTAAGTAATAGGTGTGGTTGATGGTTTCCACATTCCAATTAAATGACCACAGACTGTATATCACAACTGTTATATCAACAGGAAGTATTGTCTTAATGGCTATCATGGATAATACTGAATAATTCACATATATTAATATATATACAGTGGTCAACCAGGCGGCATGCATGATGATTTGGAAATCATAATTATTTGGAGATGAGACATTAGATTTTAATCCAGTCACTGAATCACAAATCTTGTCAAGAGCTCAAGCCAAGAGAAATAATTTAGCCAATCAACTACTAGATTAAGAAACAAATTTATATTTACAGATGTCACCGGTTTTCTTCGCGAGGCGGCTGCGTCCCCTCACCGTGACAATAGGGCTCTGTAATGTCGATGCTTAGTG